TCATCCTAGCTCACTAAATGTGAAGGGCGGGTTGACAAGGGTTCGTAGGATGTAAAATCACCACTAACCTGTTCATTTTTTACTTTTTGTGACTAACCACACAGGGTGCGCACATACGGAGAGCAATTTATGGAAGTCCACATAAATCTCCCGTCACTATTTTTTCCACAGAAACTTGTGGTCCTAGGAATAGTGTTACGATTGTTACGGGACGATGTGTGTTTCACGTCTGGTTAGTAGACTATAAGTTTCGTTTTACGTTCCTTGTGTTCAGGTGACATTGTTGTGGCATCGACATTGTGTTACTAAATTTGGAAGGGTACACTTGTTCGAAGACCACACTTGACATCCTGTCGGTTGCGAAATATGTTGTTGGACCAAGTTCGATTAGACTTCCTCACCTTAGTATGTAGAAGTATCGTCAGGAATCCTAAATTGTATTTACCTAGCTGTACTGAGTTTCATTTTGGTTATCCCTTATGAAGCTGGGGATGTTGAGTGGTTGAACCACCGAAGGCAAAAACACTATGGAGTATTGCCAGACGACTTCTAATTGGAAACAAAAAAGCAGCTTTTGTACCTAACCTGGAGCTTTTATTCATTCACAAGTCATCCGTTTGGGTTTCTGACGCTTTTTTCAAACCTGCAGACAGTTTAGTTTCAATCGATCTACTGGCTCCCAAGACAGAGCACCAACAAAAACAGCTTCTCCGTAGTCACCTAATTACTCTCAGCTCGCAACCGTCGTGAACTCTGTGCCAAATCTTTTGACATATGGTCCCATGCAGAATCAGAGTCGTGAGGTGCTGGGATTTTAGCGATCAATTCGGTTGGGCGGAGATGCAAGTAATAAATACGACAAGCGCAATGAGAAACCCAACATCTGTTTCAGGTCTTATGTGTCCGTTGCAGTCATCTGCCAAACGGTTTCAGGAATGAACAATGGAGCGCGATAGGCTGATGAAACAAAATCTGATCTTTATTTTGCTTTGGACGTTCATTCCCCAGTGCTGTTGAATGAATGCGCTTTTGGCTGTACGACAATTGGAACTTCAGTCAGCTGAAATGCAAGGAAAGCGTACTGCCGCCAGCCCATTATTGCGCTCTAGACGTACTAGAATTGTCAGGTCTGATTAGATGGAGATGTGTTCTTGTCCGATGGCCAGTTTGACTTACATCAACACTATGTGGCAGCAAGTAATTTCAAAGTCACTACCCGGGACGCTCGTACTTGACCTAGACAGCATGCTGAGCATGTCACGTCCAAGAATTTGCAGCCATTTGCGTCTTTCCGTTATCCAGTCAAGCAGATTTAGCCATTCCCTTTTCAACTGAATCCGAAGTTGCTTTGGCTGCAGTGTGGCCAAATAGAGGACCAGCTGTGGAATCTGAAACCGCGTGCAGTACAGAGAACTCTTTGACTCTTTGCATAATGACTAACTGCGTGCATTATTAAACGTACGTTTAGTAGATGCTACACCATTTACGGATCTGTAAGACGTCCATGAGCAATAGCCGGCTGTCTGCAGCTGTAAGGCAACGCTAACGTGAGAATTACTTATTCCTGGTGTGCATGTGGATCCACCTGGCAGAAAAAGCAAATTGACGTCGGTCCACTCGCTACGAAGGTCCATCTTGCAACTGGCCATGGCTGACTTTCAGGCCCATGCAGCTTGTAAATGTTAGAATACTTTTAGTCTGTAAGTAGTAAGGAAATCTCAAGAATCCCACAAAATGTTGTGCAATCCTTCTCGACTTTTCGGCAGGATGAAGCCACGATTTCAAATTTCAAAATCTCCTCATAATACCATATAATCATGATTAGACTCCTCATGAGTATGGGCATCACACAAATTGCATTGGCTTCTCATATGAAAAGGTATCACTCGGGAAATCAGTCAACGAATCATCACATGATATGAACTGCGGAACTGAAAGGCAGTCGGCACCACATCCCCTATGGAAGCAAGAAGATCTCGTTGTTGATGAGCCGCTCATAACCGAAAGCTGTAGCGTTCAAATACAAACAGGAATTTCGCGGACTTGGCGCACATACCAACGGGAAAACAAGTCCAGGGCGCTTCTCAGCTCCTCAGCATAGATCCACCCTACTTGCAGTGCGAGACTTCTGATATAACTAAGAGATATGTGCTTGCTTCAACTGCTTATGAGTAGCTTGCTTTTAGCCAGGCGTTCTCAACCCGTTTCCCTTATTTCTAAGTCGTAAGCACAGGGTAGCGTAGGCGTATCTCCTGTCAACCCAGTGTTTTTGGGAGTTTTCTAGTCTCTCAGCTAGCTGTTCAAGCTCTCAGTCTACTTACCCAAGGCAACCATATCCATTTATTTTTCACTGAATTTTCAAGGCGACCAACTCCGAAAGGATCAAGCCTGATCTGGCAATTGCTTACACTATCAGGGAGTCAAGCCACTTCAGTGGCACAGTCCGATTGTTCAATTGATTGTATCACTTGATCGCGAGCCTGGTAATATTCCATCCCTTCTCTGTGCAGATTCCTCACCCAAATAGAACTATCACGTGATCGATCCAAATGCACACTTCCGACCAACTTGTGCGGTTCTTTCCGCCGCCATACACTTTTGCATAATTCCGGTGCTGATGTAATCTCTGGTTTCTACCAGCAGTAAGCCCCTAGCTTGCAATTTCCCTGGCTGACACCTGTCTGACAACATCGCTTACACCACTGCCTCAATTCATTTCTGTGTTGCCATTTTTCTGTCACTTACCAGCTTATTCTTCTCCCTTGTGCTGTCACTGGTTCTTCCGTTCAATGCCAAAATTTATCACTTGTTTGTGTCATTCGTTCTGGGACTTGGAAGTATCCCTATATGCCTTGATACAATGTAGGATACGTAAGCTGCCACATATCTCACAATTCATTTGAAACTTCGAAGTCATCTCACACCAGAACCAAATATAAGTTGAGTTCGTCTTTCTCTGTTTTGGAAAACAGCAAGCAAGGACGAGCCACAATATATACTTTCAAAATCCAAGCTGACTAAATGACTGTGTGCTTTTTAGACGACGTTGTTTTAGTCTTCTCCTCTATGGCACTCAATGCAGGACCAAATGGTGCAGAACAAGCCCTGCAACTGTAGATGTAGACAGTGGAATTTTCTGTTTGGCAGTGCTAGCGACCNAGCCCATTATTGCGCTCTAGACGTACTAGGATTGTCAAGTCTGATTAGATGGAGATGTGTTCTTTCCCGATGGCCAGTTTGACATACATCAACACTGTGTGGCAGCAAGTAATTCCAAAGTCACTTACCGGGACGCTCGTACTTGACCTAGACAGCATGCTGAGCATGTCACGTCCAAGAATTTGCAGCCATTTGCGTCTTTCCGTTATCCAGTCAAGCAGATTTAGCCATTCCCTTTTCAACTGAATCCGAAGTTGCTTTGGCTGCAGTGTGGCCAAATAGAGGACCAGCTGTGGAATCTGAAACCGCGTGCAGTACAGATAACTCTTCGACTCTTTGCATAATGACTAACTGCGTGCATTATTAAACGTATGTTTAGTAGATGCTACACTATTTACGGATATGTAAGACGTCCATGAGCAATAGCCGGCTGTCTGCAGCCGTAAGGCAACGTTAACGTGAGAATTACTTATTCCTAGTGTGCATGTGGATCCACCTGGCAGAAAAAGCAAATTGACGTCGGTCCACTCGCTACGAAGGTCCATCTTGCAACCGGCCATGGCTGACTTTCAGGCCCACGCAGCTTGTAAAGGTTAGATTACTTGTAGTCTGTAAGTAGTATGGAAATCTCAGGAATCCCACAATATGTTGTGCAATCCTTCTCGGCTTTTCGATAGGATGAAGCCACGATTTCAGATTTCAAAATCTCTTAATTATACCATCTAATCATGATTAGACTTCTTATGAGTATGGGCATCGCACAAATTGCATTGGCCTCTCATATGAAAAGGTATCACTCAGGAAATCAGTCAACAAATGATCGCATGATATGAACTGAGGAATTACAAGGCAGTCGACACCATATCCTCTATGGAAGTAAGAAAATCTCGCTGTTGATCAGTCCTTCATAACCGAAAGCTGTAGCGTTCAAATACAAACTGGAATTCTGTGGACTTAGTGCACATACCAACGGGAAAACAAATCTAGGGCGCTTCTCAGCTCTTCAGCATAGATCCACCCTACTTGCAGTGCGAGTCTTCTGATATAACTAAGAGGTATGTGCTTGCCTCAACTACTTATGAGTAGTTTGTTTTTAGCCAGGCGTTCTCAACCCTTTCCCCTAGTTCTAAGTCGTTAAGCCCAGGCAGCCTAAGCGTATCTCCTGTCAACCTAGTGTTTTCGGAAGTTTTCTAGTGTCTCATCTAGCTGTTCGAACCCTCAGTCTACTTACCCAAGGAAACCAAATCCATTTGTTTTTCACTGAATTTTCAAGGCGACCAACCCCGAAAGGTCGCTTAACTGTCAATTTATTTTGTGTATTTTTTTAGTTTTTCTAGTACTCACTCATCATCAAGTGATTAGATATAAGATAGTAACATTCGGGAATCAATCCTGCTCTGGCAGTTGCTTACACTATCAGGGAATCAAGCCGCTTCAGTGGCACAGTCCAACTGTTCATTTGATTGTATCACTTAATCGCGAGCCTGGTAATATGCCATCCCTACTCTGTGCAGATTCCTCATCCAAATAGAACTGTCACGTGATCGACCCAAATGCACGCTTCTGGTCAACTTGTGCGGTTCTTTCCGCCGCCATACACCTTTGCATAATTCCCTGATGTAATTTCTGGTTTCTACTAGCAGTAAGCTCCTAGCTTGCAATTTCCCTGACTGACCCCTGTCTGGCAACATCGCTTACACACCTACCTTACCTATTTGTGTATTGCCATTTTACTGTCACTCACCACCTTTTTCTTCTTCCTTGTGCTGTCACTGGTTCATCCGTTCAATACAGAAAGTTATCACATGCTTGCGTCATTCGTTCTGGGACTGAATGCCTTGACACAATATAGTATAAGTAAACTGCAACAGATCCCACAGTTCATTTGGAACTTCAAAGTCATCTGATACCAGCACCAAATATAAGTTAAGTTCGCCCTTCTCTACACTTGGAAAACAATAAACAAGGAGGGGCTACAATAAATATTTTCAGAATCCAAGCTGTGTGCTTTTTAGACCCCCTTGTTTTAGTCTTCTCCTCTGTGGCACTCAATACAGGACCAAATGGTGCAGAAGAAGCCCTGCAACTGTAGATGTAGACACTGGAATTTTCTGTTTGGCGGTGCTAGAGATCTTCCACTTGGATTAGTGACAGTTAAATTAGGTAACTCAATTGTAACCAGATCACCTCTCAACTTTTTATGTGCAATACTTTCCGAAGACACGTGGAACCGGTTAAATTTTCTTTCCTAGCGTTGTCAGTGGTATCCAGTGTGTGAATACCGTACACCATTCTGGAATTGTTCTGAGCTCTTTGAATGTGGATACTTGGTTCTGCCATGCTTGATATGATAGTCGAAAGCGCTGAGAACCCCTCAGACGTGAGTGGCCTTCCAGTGTTACCGCTACTGTTGTCATCATTGGCCAGCCTGGGGCTTTTCAAACAACCACTTCAGGCAAACAGGTAGTCAAGGCAGTTGTAGGCGTATTCTAACGGATTACCAAAGTTTAGTCAGGAACTGGTGCGATAACAATAAGTAAAACACCAATCGGGCGACCTGTGGCGATATGGTTAGTCATTAGTAAACCTTTTACCATCAACACGCTCAAGACTGTCGCCCTACTAGAAACATATTACACTACGGACAAAAACGCAACACAGAAAGCTGCAGTCGATAGGAAGGGTAACATCAGATAAATAAGCGATAAGGTCGGTGAGCACTGTGTCGATCGATAATGTGACTTGAACCTAGGTTTCTGGGTCAAACACTGTAAATGGATACGTTCCCAGATTATCCTCATGGCCAAAGCGATTGGTAGCAGGTTGTGCGACCCTATCCTGTGCATCAGATACATAATTTACTTGGTGTTTTTCAGGCCTCTGAAGGTGATTCTGTGAACGAAATGTGGTTGTATTTCAAACTTACCATTGTAAGTATCACAATTAACAACGGAAGTAGATGTAACCCCATCCAGTGAATGCGAATAAACCGACTCAACGGCTTTACGCAACCCCGATTGTATAAATCACTGGGATTGCTCACGAGAATATGGTCACAAGGGACAAATTTCAGAGCATCTTTGGTGTGAACAGAATTGCAGCAACTAAATGGGACGCTGTCGTTGGTCAGGGTGGGCATCAAGTAATGAGCGCGTTCGTAGAGTACAGGAATCCTGAAACAAAGCACATATTGGTGCTATATTCTAAATGCTTTGCGCACTGCTTATAGATCACCTCTATCAGAAAAGACAAAAGAAGAACAGGTCATATCCAGATCATATTCACTAAAAGTAAATAGACAAAAAGAAGAAAATGTAGTGTATTCATCAAGGCATAAGATCAACCACAAGTAAATCCCAAAAGTATACACAGTGGCATACCGAGTTGGTTTTCTCGGAGGGCTTGCCTCAATCCCAGAAGTTTCGCTAGTTTTACACCTCAACGACTGTTATTTTTAGGTAACCGCATTAAATGGTGCGAAAGATACGGAATAAATTACCATCCTCTATGCTATAGGTTTGGAGGTTGTAAGGTTTTCCCTCCAGATACAAATAGAAACTGGGATGTTGCCTGCAGAATAGGATGAGTCACCCGAGGAATATCGACCGTGAAAGGCGTAGATAACTGTAACCACCAGTTCGTTATTGAATATTCCCCAAACCAGGAACTTGGTATGCCTTAAAACGTAAAGAGTGAACCGTCGTTTCTCGGTAGAAAGCGTCGCCGTTGGTACTAACAACCCCAAACTACGTATGAAATCACGTTTGTGTACTTTGTTGAACTTAGCTGACCTTCACTAGCATTTAGACGGTTTATGGATGCTGGTCTGATCTCAACCAAATAGATTGCATCTTATAAGCCTCCTAACCTAATGCAGGCTAGTCTCCCGCTGTGGTATTTGATGAATCCAGTAGATTCAGTAACTTTCTATTTTTTTGTACTTAACGTACCGGACCAGCTAATTTACGAAAAAAGACTGTTCGCCGACCAAAATTCTAGGATCGAGTCCCTGAAATTTCACGTTTCTGTACAAGTGGACGTTTGTGGGTGGGCAGTTAGTTGACCTCTTTCACTTTCACTTCCTATTTTTCAGTATAGTACTTCGCACAGATAAACTGACACGCTCTTTCACGCCTTAACGTCAGCGTATTCACACTGGCAGTGCGTTGATGATGAGTGTGTGGTTGATTTCTACTTTGAATTCGGTGAGGAATAAATGCAAACGGCTTTGCAGTTTCCAATCTCTGTCCATTCAAACATATCCTGAAAGGTGGTTATCGAAATTTTGGAGCATTTGAACTGTGTGACCATCATTAGCTTTGACCTATACGTTGGGCGAGTCCACCAAGTCGTTGTGGAACATGGCAGAGCGTATACAACTTCGGGATTCCGATCCATTTCGGGATGTCTGTCGTGCTGGCGCATGGGGGAAGAGCCTGTTCTGCATGCAGACAGCTTATTGAAGCCTCAAGTGATAGCTGAGTGTCAGGTTGGTACAACTGTGTCAATTTTATTCTGCTAGTTCATGTTTTAGTCTCTCAGCTTACCTTAAGTTACTTTGACTAATGTTGGTTCGAATAAAGTTAAAATGTAAAATATGGTGTCTGCTAATCATATTTAACCTAATATTAACGATTGTCGGATCCAATGCTTCCTCATGCAGTTTTCTACTTTGAAATGACCGGTCAGCATTAACTTCTTATGCCAGATAATCGCTTCTAGGACGTAGCTAATATCTAACCATACTTCCGGAAAGAAGTCGAACGTGTTTCTTCCAGCAGGACTATATCCATTCGGAACTAGCTTCTATCAAGGCTGGGAGTGGCAGAAACCCCTAACCTAAAAACACACCAGTATGTGAATCTTCTGCTGGTTCCGCTGTCGGATGATATTCCTCTTATGAGTTTTGCCAAAGCAGACATCTGGTTGCTTCCGTTTTCGAGGCATTTGTTTTCCAAGGTACTGTATTTTTCTCTGATTCATGCCAAATGTCTGTGCCAAGCAAATGACGATGACTCACACTTTTGTTGTACCAGACGAACGAAGAGTTCATCTATGGTACATTGAGTTTCCTGACCTTGAATGACTAAGTTTATTCGGGAAATACACCCGTTTGCAAATCAGTTTGGTTTTCACCAGAGACTCAACTGAATCTCTCGTTTATGGTATTCTGTGCAGCACATTCAGTTGTAGAATATCATAAACGAGAGATTCAGTTGAGTCTTCCGTGAAAACCAAATTGATTTGCAAATGAGTGTATTTCTCGAAAACGATTCACTTGGGGTTCAAGTAGAACACAAGATTGACGGAAAATTGGGGACTTCGCCTACCTGATGAGCCCAAGAAGGGCGAAACCGGTCGTGGGCTGTCGAAGAGTTTTAAGCAGGCTTGTGAGTAGTTTCCTTTATGAGACTGAGTTTATTTTTCGAGAATGTTTGCGTGAGAACAACTCACCCCATGGCCTTCCTATAGGTGTGATTTTTTGGTCGGTATATATGAGGAGAGTTCCAGTCTTCGTATCCTGTCTTGCGCCCACAGCACTCGAACATTCTGTGAATCAGATCGAGGCTCAGATACGTACCCGATCCGTCATCTGGGGTGTGATGCGACGGGATTCGCGACTCCGGGCGAATGAATTGAGCAAGCTGTTGGAATTGCAGGAAGTAGTAACGCTGCAGTTCATACAACCATTTATTGATAGTGTTCTCCCAATAGGTCTCCTGAGTCGGGTAAAAGGTGTCACCTGAGTGTGGGAAGAAAATAGGGGTGACTCGTCATAACAGGGTGAAACAGATTTTTTGAATACCAGGGACACTGGACTTTGCAGCGAGGATAGAAACAAACTTCCTTAATTCTCCACGACAGTTTTACGAAGCTGCCGTCTTTTTAGGTGAAAAGGACATTCTGGCGGTAAATCATCATCATCATCATCATTATCAGCTGTAATAACCGCGTACTCGTCGTACAGTGGTTGTAGCTGCCACAGTTTCGTTCACCGATGATTGGAGGGGGTAGGTAGCTGCGCATTGCACGCTCGAGCTGGTAATTTGGTGCATAAATCCAGCACTGTCAGTGAGTTGTCAAGCGGGGGGGGGGGGAAAAGAAGCTATGCATTGAAGGAAATAGCTTGGATGCACGAGCGCCACTGAGGGCGCGACTGGGCCATGTCTGATAATGTCTCTAGCCATTGATGTGGCCCGTCTCGGGGTCCCCATCCAGGAAGACGGCAGTGACCAGCGCAGCTGAGTTTGCTGGTAATGGCCTTCATACTTCGCTGCCAAGTCATTGTTTGACCGCCTCTGGCTCTCTGGCGGTAAATGTTCTGTAGGCGATCGGACTGACGTCATCAGCGCATCTCAGTGGATTTCATTGGCGTTTCTGTGGATTTGCCGTTTAGTGATACACTCTCTGTGCAACATGAGTTGCCAAACTTATCACAACTACTGGCACCAGCTCTTTGTTCGGCACATATAACACCCTAGAGAAAGAGTATCGATGATCAAGATCTGTGTCACAACCTTAAAAGGTAGCTCAAAGTGTGATGGAAAAATGTACCAGGCATTCGTCGGACGCCATCTTGATGAGTCCACATCACTCAGTAAAAGTGCTGTCACTTTCATTTCACTTTGCTATTTCAAAGTCTACTCTTCGCGAAGATGAAAAACTGAATCTCATTTTAGAATGTAAAGTACTCTCGGTAATTCCTCTATAGTGAACTCTTCTTCTTGACAGCCGTACTAGCCAGGCTATATTATACTTGAAGGACATTGAATATTTTCTGTTAGATTACCATTTAACAAGTTCGCATGAAATAACACCCAGTTTTCACACCTGAACCTATGAAAGCAAGTCTGCTAGCATTCTGATGATGACTTCACGAGTAACGGTTGTCTTTCTGCCTTTAGTTCTTAACAGCATTATCAGTATATTCTATTGCAATAGTAAAGTAAGTTTGAGAGAACGAGGCATACATCCTCTTCTGAATGGCATTTCAAGAGCACTTTATTGCAAAAATTTTTCTGTGCCCAGAATGTAACTTCTAACTAGATTCCGCCGTTGGAGTAACTAAAGTTACTTGTTTGGAATGATACAATTTGGAGATCCACTTAAGTTCTCCTCAAACCACTGCTGAAAAAACGAGCAACTACAGTATGGGACAAAAGATCCGAATCAAGGTTACGGTCAATTCGTCCTCTCTTGGTCATCACTTCTCGGCCATTCTTCTGTATCTTCTGCTATAGAAAGTACTTTGGTATCCATTTTATGGTTCAGGCCGCCGAGGTGCTGTAATCTGTTGACAAAACTTCCTAAAGTGTTGCCAAACGCTTCAGTCCAAATTATACACCTAAGAAAAAACGCATCTGTAACCCCATTGTCCAATCACACTCCAATGACACCCTCCAGACGTCCAAAAGCTCGGCTATTGACCCGCAATTTCGGGTATTCATGAATCGGTCATTTTTTCTGTAACAAAGAGGAGAAGCTGGTGCTTACTGAAAAACACGTAGATGTAATACAGCAGAAGCCCACACGTCAGTATTAACATCCACATAGCTCGAGGCTGTCGCTGCTTTATCTCAACCAGTTGTTTGTAACGGTCCTTCTCGTACCAGGCTATCGGGGAAGGAATTCTGCTCAAACGCCGTCTTTTTTGCTTATGTCTGTGAACGTGGAATAGAATGAAAAAAGCATCAACTTCAATACAAATAAAAACTTTTCAAGCATATTCCATCTGTGAGAAGATCAATGTCTCATTCAGTGTTCCTATGTTAATTTTGAATAGTCTTCAAACAACTGCTTTAGACGATTCATGCAGTTTTAGCAAAAAGAAAATTTTCTAACGAATTTTCGGATTCTCCCAAAGATGTCTCAAGCATGTAGTGTGGTCCGAATTTGGATTTCACTATAGGAAGATAGAAATCGCTAACACTTGCGTTTTGTCCCCATCAAAAAAGCGTTTCAGCCAAACATCAAAACCTGGATACAATTGATTTGGACTTGAAATCGCTTTCGCTCTTTCACTAGTTGGCCAGAATCTATTCCCCAAAGTGAAGAACTGCCTGCAACATCATCAACATGACATAGTTGAAGTGATATAAGGGATTAACTTCTGCGGAAGCCGTTGTACGTCAAACTAAATGCTCGGTTTATACAGCCCCAATCCTGGTTCAGGGTTTATGAAATTGCTCTGTTTTGTACAATCAGTCATGGTCACAATACGCATGATACAATAGTTTAAATACTGACAGCACATTATAAGGTAGGTGAAGACTTATAAGTAGTGTCATACCACTTTTCTAGCTGAGACGGTAGATGGTCTTTATGAAGCGTATTCGGTTAAAGATACTACGAACGAGGATGTATCTCATAAATACCAAATTAATTTATGGCTGATTGTTTATTCCTACATACATTTATCCTCTTTCTCATGCACAGCATCGTTACTGGAAATTAGGGGATTAGGGGTATCTATCTAGCGAGCCCTAAAACGGACGATTTTTAGGAACCTTATCGATAGCGTCATATCAACTGAAGTATGAAGCGGTCTCTGTGCAGCACTGTTAGTTGAAAAGCAACAAACGAGGGTTGATGTTATCTCTTGTCAACATCGTTTTAATTTGAAAACAAATGCTTATCTTTCGGAACGCTACCCTTTACCATTTAGATGTCATGCACTCCACTGAAGGCTAATTATCCTATCGTGCACACACTTCTGGCGAAGTTGTCAGGTTTATCAGAATTTACCGTACTAATGCGGTATTTGGCCAAGGTGTTTTTCTGGTTCTTCTACAGGCTGCTTTTACTGGTGACTGGTCCTGTCGGCGGTTTTTCATGAGAATGATGGTCGGCTGTACCTCAGGCTAACAAACCATATTTGGTTAATTTAATCAAGTCAGAGCTCTTGCCTACTGAGCGATGACTTAGTAGCTCGGGCAAAACAGTATTATGAATTAACTGAGTTTTGCAGTTCAATCACAAGTTGAGGTAACAGCGTCAGTAAGCTGTGGTGCGGCTGTGTGACACCAACAGGGACATTCCATTCACATAAGCTCGTGGTTTAGAGAAGTGCGGGGACATCCATAGAGTCAAGCCCTTACTTTAAGTGACACAGCCCTTTAAGTTCCAAAGGAGCGGTGAATAATTTAGAACATGGTAGGCCTCTTGGATGTGTAAGTCAAGGTCGTTGGAATGGTATATCAATCAATGATCAGTTGTCGGAATGGTTGGTCCAACATCTTGAGCTCCAAGGCGTTACGCTGATCGGTTTGCTTTTCCACGCCGCACCAAACAAATAATATGACAGGTTTATTCCTTCTGACTTTTGTGGCCCGAGAAACCATTCGTGAAAGTAACTGCTACCGATTTCACTTGTTTTCGGTTCCCGAAGTTTCACTGGCCCCATTTCTCACTAGAAAACCAAACTCAGCTGCGTTAAAGTTAGTATTCGTTTCAATGTAAGGTGGTACAGACAAGAGGTTCAGTTGAATCCTTTGGTTTGAATTCTGAACATGCGGTACGAAAGCAGTCTCGTATTTAGGTTTAAATGATATTCAATATGTAGAATTATTTTCCTTCGTATAACCAACATAATTTCCTATGGATCGCAAATTTTTCTTCGGATAGATTACGAATGCGTATGGATATTGTTCAGTTGTTTCAACTATTCAGTCACAGCTAATAAACTTGAATGCTGGCCGAATAAGAGAGAGCAACAATAGTTACACCCGAGAATCTTCACACTAAAAAAGAAATGATCACTGATATCGACAGTACACGTCCAACTAAGCCTTACTGTCTCAGATTCACAGAAGATTGGTAAGGAGCTAAATTTAGGTTCACTTTGGTATTAATATGGTATGTTATGATAGAGGGTAGTACAGTACAGTGCAGCATATTGCGGTGCAATATAGTACCCTATAGGTTAGTATGGCGTGGTATATTACAGCATGGTACACTAAATCGCGAGATGATACAGTTAAACAGCACAGTAACGCACGTTATACATTATAATTACATTATAGTATACTCTACCATATAGTATAGTGCAGTTTTTAGCGGCAGTTGGTGGGAATACGGCCTGTAACATAGCACAGTTATTCGCGAAACACAGTTAGTTGCACACCAATTGGATTTACCGAGAGACCCTACTGAATCCGCTTTGTAAGTAGTGTTTCTTAAAGAAAATATATTGCAATATCTCAAATATCGTGCCAAATGTAAAGCAAAATGGCCATTGTGCATTACATTTAGCTGAGAGCTGGTTTGGTGGAGCCCCCCTAATACGCAACAGTGCATCAAACCTATCGCACGGAATCCATAACTAGATACATAACTAACAGTTGGTTCTGTTTGACTGAGTTATGTACGGAGGAAATGACGCATCTAAATTGCCTCGATAGACTTATTCATAAGAGAATCATAGGACTCCTTAATCTTCCGCCAAAGTCCCGTTCAGTGTAAGTGAAATATAACAACTTTTAACCAGCTGACGGACGCCCTCTTTAAGCGAGTTCAGAGGCCAGCAAACTAATCTCGGAAGAATTAAATATGCAAACAAAAAATGTCAAGTCACTCTATGCCACAACTCGGGTCCATCATTTCAGTACGAGGTACCTGAGCCAATCCACTTGCAAACACCCACACTGCGAATCTGTTCCATGTGGCTGAACAATACCGGTTTCATCCGAACACTGTCCTTCCTAATTGGAGCAGAAATTATTTCCTTCACCGTACCAGGATTATTTCATCAAAGACCCCAATACGAGGTACCTGAGCCAATCCACTTGCAAACATCCACACTGCGAATCTGTTCCATGTGGCTGAACAATACCGGTTTCATCCGAACACTGTCCTTCCTAATTGGAGCAGAAATTATTTCCTTCACCGTACCAGGATGATTTCATCAAAGACCCCAAGTGGGATAAATTTGACAGCTGCCTTCATTACAACCCGCGATAAACCTGCCTCAATTTGACTGCGATTCGCTAACTCTGTCTTTGGTGTTACAAAAAGGGTGATATGTCAAACACTGCTCTCAGCAAATGTATCTTGGTGACAGTGTTAAAATAGGACGACTTTTCCCCGTCTGTCATTATTGGACATGCAGGTTGACTTCTCCGGTCGGTTGAAAGGATAACACTTCTTGGTGGTGCAAGCGAATCACCCTATTACTGAGTTCCTGGAGTCATATTTAAGGATCACATTAAGATCTTCCTTTCCGTTCTATCAGAAACGGCATTTTGCGATACAGATTCTTGTGGTGGTCTAAGCCATCATGAAAACGCCCGAAAAAGGACGTTTTGGGAATAAAAACCTTAAAAAGTGTGCTTTTACACCACTCGTTGGTTGTGGGTTCGGTGTACTTTCGATATATAGTATATATTAAAGAGCCTCATGAGTATGACTCAGCAGTATCGTGTAGTCCCATAATTCACCCCCAAATTTAAACATATATTCTCGTCGTTAGGTCTCCAGATAAATGTCCAGAACGCAACATCATTTGTGATCTCCTGCTTGCTATGATCTCGAATTTCAAACTGTATTAATGAAAATCACCATACACTCGTCCTTATTACGAACTAAGTTTCAATACGAAACTGACAGCCGATAACAGCAAGCACCTTTATTGTCTCTGCCTCAGGTTTAAGTAGTTTTAAGGTCACATTGTGAGAATCTTGCAACTGCGGCTACGTTCATCAATCTTGCAAATTTGCTCTAAAGAAAAACCGTCCGAATCTGTCAAGCGACCCTTATAGCCCATTGTTGTATTGTTCTGTAGCTTGTCGGATTCGTGGCTTTTCCTCAAACGTAAACTCTCTATGGAGACGGGGGTGATTGTGGATTTGAACAAAATATCCTACAACAAGCAACCTATGGCCTATTGTGACACTGCGAAAAATGGGATTTCATTAGTTGCATGAGATTTTGAAATCTCGGTGGGGCTTTCATCCTGTCAAAAATTCTGGAAGCACTGTTTCACTATTACTGAGAAATATCATCACAGCGAATGTCGGGAAACTCCAGGGACCTCTCAGCTTTTAGTTGAACCCCAAACCGTTCGGTCACGAGCGGATGATCAGTTGTGTGATTGACTCTCAGCCAGTATACCGTCAATCACGGAATCCACAACACTTGGTCATAGGTGGCTAGCTTCTCGATTGATGGATTGCGCGAACGACTTTTCGCTCGAGAAAACAGCTGACACGTGATCATGTCATGTTAATTACGTCAATGAAGGATCATTGACGCTATATATTGGCCACGTGTGAGTTGATCACACAGTTTATTAGCCACTTGTAGCCCAACTGTTTTGGTTTTCAACTGCTAACCAGGAGGTCGAGTGTTCGTAACTCACAGGAAATTTGTGAGATGCGCCCTGCTTATGATACCCAATAAAAACAAAACAGGTGTACAGCGCTTCTCGGCCCTTCGGCACGCATTGACTTCAACTTCAGGACAAAATCTTGCTAGAAAAGTGCGACTATGTATATACTTTTGGTCCCATTTTTTTACTCCTTGGGTAATACTACTGACTTACGGAGTATCGTCGAAAAATTTGGACAAATGAATTATAGTGGACGGAAGATACACAAAACCCAGGGTTAACCACACGCCGAGAAGTCGGTTGCGCATTTGTTCCTGACCAGGTAGAATGGGCATTCGTGGTGCACTGTAGTTGGGAAATTCGGAAATCGGAGACCGGACACGTAATTTCCAATCCACCAGAGTTGTTATCCAGATGAATATGAAAAATTGTATAAACCACCAGAACAATTGTAACTCCACCATTATTGCCATTACACGAAGTGGAAACCGAATGAGATTGTAGGTACCCTCTCTAAGTGGGACCTTTTCAGGAATGATATAGTCCGCCAGCTCTTTGACACTAAACGTCTTCTGTGAATTCTCAGTGAGCCCCACATTTTCTTGTGAGCTTTTTGACGGTGTCACATCCACATAAGTATTGTACTCCGATTTTTCGTTCTTTTTTTGTGTTCCAGGCTTGTTATATTCTCTGAGTGAGCTATTGTCATTGGTCGCTTGGCTATGCAGATATTGGTCTACTAGTTCTTTCTCACGCCGAGCACTCATCGTACTTTTCCTTCTCCCCTTTTTTCGTCCGGGTTCACCCGTGGCGGTTCTTTGTCTCCGTCTCCCAGCAGCGTTGTGTTTCGACCTATCTCTACTGCCTTCACGAGTTCTGCCTGACCGTGGTGCATGGTCATCTACAGTATTCTGTGGAACAACACGTTCAGTAGTTCTATGGTGGCTACTTCGTCTTCGACCACTGTGGGACCGATGTCTTTTTTGAGGTTGGTTAAGATGAGGTGACGCTGGGACCACATAATCTTTTATACGTGAAACATCGTTCAGGGTTTCTAAGTCCACGTCAGTGGGGTAAGCTACGTGCTTCAATTGGCCATGCTCAGCACCATATGATTGCATCGGGTGAGGGGAGTAGATGGAACCGCATATGTAGACTATGTAGATCAGATATTGGTAGGGCACGTGAACCCAACATTCACACGTTTGAATGGATCGATATGATCTGAGTGTCGGTTTGCCTGCGCTAAAGTCTAGGTTTTAGTCGTGTTTTAGATAAATCTAACATTATATTTGGTGTCATAATGCATATGTCCTCACATTTAACTTGCCACCACCAAGAAACATCTAGATTCAGTGCTCTCAGTTAAACTAAAGCGGACAGCCTGATTCGAGTCTCTCAACATTTAGGGAATCTTGTCGATTGACTCGAAATTCTAGAAAAGATTTTGTACTGCTAAAATACAGTTAAGCTGCTTAGAATAGGAAAAACCTTTCACGGAAGAAGCATGTGAACAGTTGAGGGGAACTGCGTAGTCAAAGGAAGAGGCATGATGAGAACACGTTCATCACACTACTGATCATGGCCAAATGACATAGAGTACAACTACTGACAGAAAGGTCGTAAGATAGACATTATTGGTCCGTTACAGGAATGAGGCAGCCATACAGTGCTTTTAGCTATTTGGTGCGCATTAGTTATTTGCAGATAAATTCTCGATCAAAATAAGCGGGAGTACCACACTGGATTCGATCAAAAAGAATTTCAAATTAAGATTCCTGATAATCGTTTGAAACTGACGTACGATAGGCTCAATAAAAGTGCGCTTATGCTTTACAGCAAAGAAAGGAAGCGAGTAATAGCGCCGAATAGAAAGTAATGGGAGAGATGGTGAATTTTCATGGAAAAGAAATAAGTTGAAATTTGAGTAACATTAGATAAGTGATCATTATCGGCATCTGAATCGACGAAGCGTTACTGAGATTCAACTAAGCAAATAGATGTTAACCCACAAGACCATTTGACAAAATGGTGGCATTAGGATAACCAAGGCTTATAAATCAGGTAGAGGGTTCGGAACGTACAACTGTTAATGAAAGCAGGGACATTGCAGGACAACTAACTTCAGGCCGAAGTTTTCAGTTATTCAGCTCACGAACCGTGTACCGAATCCCAGCGGTTCCATCCGTTACAGCTACGTTCACCGAGGATGTGAGAAGCAATGGAATACGACCATCGCTTTGGATGTGAGTGCATGATCTGGTCATTAGGGACAAATGGACTCTTTGACCGATACGCAAGAAAATACGAGCTACATAGCAGATGCCACAGTTTTTATACCAGCGCGTCATGACTGCGTGACACAGCCACATCTCTCAGTCGTTGACCATTGATTCAATTCGTCCACGCTTCCCTATCTCGGGAAACGGAATTCACCAATGTCACTGAGTTGACCCGCAAGGGCTTTTAGGCTTGCTTGCCAAGTCATTCAGTAACCGCCTCACGCTCATCTGCAGCTGAAACAAGGCTGGCATATGAAGTACATAACCTAATGGGCGTAACCTGTCGGGTGTGACCAGGTGATCTATTCAGAGAGTCATCGTTCCTGAAAACTCTCTGGTCTAACCCAGCAGTACTGACTTCATGTTCTTACCAAACCCATACGAGGCTTCAGGGGCATCGTAGTCAGCAGCGGTATAGATACACAAACTAGCCTACCACATCGATTGGTTCAGCTACGAACGTGAAGTTTGGGTTCCGTCTCAACCAATCTTGCAACAACACCTTGCACTGAACAGGTGTGAAGCGCATATTGAACTTCACAGCAGAATTATTAAGGTCATTTAAGATGGTTTGCAATTTCAAAGGGTCTGGTTTAAGAAGTGTAATATCGTTAGCGTGCTCAATACCTGTGAGCGAACGCAAAGCGGGTGCTTCGATTCCAGAGGCGTTGGAGCCAGGTAAAGTAGACCAAAGCAAGATGTCGATTATGAAGGTGAGGAATGGTGATAGAGGACACCATTGCCTGACGTCAGTGGATCTGAACTCACGGGAGAATTGCCGTAGGCACGTACATGCCGACGGGAAAAGGCGGACACAGACTTTACACGAGACAAGGATTCAGAATAGAAACTCCACAGACACGGTCACAATTTTATCAGATCAAAGGAGTCAGAACCAGGTCCGAGATCGAGAAAGCTTATCAGTGTTTGCCGTTGCAAAGAGTGGTCACAAAGTGCATTAATACAAACTCGACCGCGGAGAGATCCAGGTTGAATCACACTCCCCCAGTGGTTTACCAATTATCGTAGGATAATAAGTGAGCAATTCTGAACTGTTGCCCAATTTAATACTAGATTATGGATGTTTAAACCCGCAATATGGAACAAATCCCTTGAATTCAATAGGGTCTATTTCACTGAACAGAATCTTAGAGACGAAGCAACCGTTATGCAATTGATATCTAAGTGGATCAGAAGGACCTGACTGGGGTACTCAGTAAATCAAGAGATGTGAGGGCAAGTTTTACTTCGAGGTTGTCTAAGCGGAAGAAGGGGGTTTGGTTGAGGTACCCCGCCTTGAGCCTTCGACTCAAAAGTCTGACCCACGAGGCAGTGGGAGAATGTAAGGTTTTGTTCGGGGACCTTGACCCTAGCCTCTCACTCAAAAGTCTGACCCAGGAGGTATTGGGAGAATGTAGGGTTTTCTTTGGGGACCCTGCCCGGAGCCGATGACTCAATAGTCTGACCTGCTCGGCTGCAGGTGGTTGGCCTAACCCGAGGGCGCAGGGAATAAGGCGTTACTGTCTCATTCCTGATGCGACTGCTCACATCAGGTGCCTTTTGAGCAGCACCGGGCTCTTTGGCTTTAAAAGTATTTCGACCGTATTGCATAATGCGCCGGCTGTCACGGTCAACATTTACCAACCCGGGAAATTCGTGTACACCAACACTTTCGCCTTCGAACAGTTTTCTTCTGGATGAAGCGCCGCTGAGGCCCGATTGGCTGGTCGTCTTGGTTTGGACACGAGACGCACGGACAACGGAGACCGGTTACTTCAGATGTGTGCCGATCACAGGCTGTTCCTTTGCAGTACGAATTTCCGGAACAGCGGACATCGCTTGACAACGTGGTGCAAGAGATGTGAGGGCAAGTTTTACTTCGAGGTTGTCTAAAGCGGAAGAAGGGGTTTGGTTGAGGTACCCCGCCTTTGGTCTTTGGCTTAAGAGGCAAGGGTGCAGGCAGCAGAGGGCTGGCCTGGCCCAGGGAGTAAGGAATTGCTGTCTGACCCCTGATACAGCTATGCGTAGCAGTATCATTCTCTTTCGTTCAAAAGATATTAAAACCACAGTTGGTAATGCGCCGGTGATCACTTCAACCGCTGGGCGACCGTAGTGTGCGGTTTTTAGGGCTACCCTCTCCAACCTGTTTTTCCTCGGGGTAAGGTGCTATCGTTGCTTCCATAAATATGGACATGTTGGTCTCATAAAGGAAACGCCCTACTGCCTTCACAATCATATAGCAGAAGCCAGTACGACTTTTCCTCCAGACCGCCTCGGAATCCGAGTTTTTGCAATATAGGGACTGGTAGCGACCCAGTCACCCACATACTTGACTGTTCAACTCACAGTCGCTCACTGGATCGTGAGGCTTGTCTTTCTCTCATACGCACAAACACGTCGCATTGAGCCGACACATCGGACATCGATTGTCTGCACCGCCCAGTCAGCCTGGGACCTACATAAAGGCAAACCGAACCCAGTCAATACACACAGACTCGCGCTCTCGCAGGGAGCAGGACGTCAAACTCTCCACAAGTCCACGGACAACCATGGAGTACGTGCAGCAGTCGAACTGCGGAGAAAAACACGTTCCCGCCGTCCGGACTTCCACCAAGGGACTCTCGCACCCGATAAGTTCCCTTTTTAACTTGCTCCCATTTTCGCACTGTATTTATTTTTATACGTGTCACAGAAATACTAAAAACTTTTATTAGTGCACATTCACCTTCTGATTTGTATTATGACTATCATCAGCTGTGCACTAATAGACTCATTGTTCTTCGTCGGGCTGCTCCTCATTAGCCTTCCTAGCATGTCTGAACCTTTACGAAGTGAGTTCTAGCCGGTATAGCCCACAGGATTATTACAGTACTGAAGCCGGATCACCAAGACAAGGTCGAGATCAGGCCTCAGACACAATCGTACAATACGAACGAAGAAGTTAGCAAACAAAAATCTCCGACCCTTGCCCCAGCCTAACTACAGTCTACTATGCTAGACACCAGCTGTTTAAGACGAAATCATGGTCATACAACCCCCCCCCCCCGCCTTAACTGTCTGTATACCGAAAACAATTTAATCGTTGAGATCCTAGATTACTACCCTTACTTGTGCCTGGCGACCGTATTCCTACGGCCACAAATGACGTTAAGTAAATGAATCTTATGTGCGGATTTTTCTCTGCTGCAATTTAGACGACAATTATTTTCTTGCCATGGGAACGGTCAAAGTCTGGGCGTTTGATGTTTCAGAACGGAGCTTGAGGCCTCTCATGTTTTTACTCTAACGTCGCACATTCCTGTTAAATTAGCATTTGTTGCGACCGTTCCCCCGGTATTTGTAACCCAAACATTTATGCCGCATCCCTGCATGCATCAGTGGTTTTAGCGCCAGAGTAACATGGCCACAACAACTACGAAATGCTGCTACTTCATCCAAAGTTGGTGTGGATGACCCAACAGCACATGCCAAGACGAGCAACTAAACGACACACCAGTGTCGATTGCGTTCAACCAAATATGGATGCTTTAGTGGCAGTGGCCTCATTGCATCCTTTCAATGGATAAAACAGGTAGATCTTCTTAGAAATCCTCTTATTTTGTCCATTCGCTTCGGTCTAAGGAACGGAGCTCCAGAATCAGCTTCTTAGGACTCTGCAAAATAGGACGAAGCAGAATAACTGAAGGTGGGCCGAACATCACATCGATTGGACGGGTGTCGCGAGCTAGTTACGGAGCAAACAGGGGGATGCCTTGATTTTTTGGAATGTTAGCCAACCAGGATCGTGCATTCTCAGCTCGTCTCCTCTCTAACCATCGTGAAAGTTCCAGCTCGATTTTCTGGAAACTTCTGTGATCGCCGTATGAATATGGATATTACCAGCTCCTTTTGTCTCTATTAAAAATTGTCTCGAGCTACCGTNTCAATTTTTGTTCACTGTAAAAACCATAGTAGGTTGATTTA